GCTGTCAGTCTCTGGCCTCTAGAGCTTGGAGTCATAGTTAGAACTGTAAGTCTCTGGGTCTTTGGCAATCAAGAGCCCAGAGCCACCAACACTGAGCAAGCTTCCAATTCCCTATTTGCACTTTCCATCAAGATGGATCAAAAGAACCTCAATTTAGTGGTAATCCAAATCCTAGACTCATGGTATCCCTTAAATAGCATGTGAAGAGTCTGTATCTTCCTCATTCATGTTACCTTCACAGCACTGGAACATTGGCTTTATCCTTTCACTTGCTTAGGCCTATATACCTACTTTTCCAGGGAACCAAAGTGTTTCTCTGACTTCAGTCTCAGGGATGGACTGTTACAGGCTTGAAGACAATCAGCCCATCTTTGTTCACCTTCTGAATCTGCTGGTGAGCATTGCATTGGTGATTCCACTGGACACATTGGAGTCCAACCAGAGTTTTTGCCATAGTGGAGAACCCAGGAGGCAAGCTTCTTCTGAAGCCTGTGCATGCTTATGACTGCAGATGCAGCAGAGAAAGGAAAAAACTCATTTTCTGTGTGTTTTTATAAACAAAATTGAGAAATTGAAGGTTGATTCTTTGAGGAAGTATTGCAAGATCAATCCAATAGGAAAATAGTAGATGATTTCTTTGCTTTGAATGTAGTGGGTAGGACTTAATGATTTTTGTTTACTTATGAAAGCAATATAGGATAAACATCCCTAATCCAAAATTCAGAAATCCAAAATGTTCCAAACTTTGCAGCTTTCTAAGTATAGACATTGTGTCACAATTGAAAATTTCCACACTATGAACTTCATTTCAAATAAAAAATTGTTTAAAAATATTGTACATTACCTTTACACTATGTGCATAAGGTATACATGAAAAAGAATTTAGTGCTCAGATTTGGGTTCCACTCCCAAGATATTTCATTATATATAGGCAAATATTCCCAAATCTGGAAAAATCCAAAATATAAAACACTTTTGCTCCCATGCATTTTGGATGAGGGAAAATGTTATCCCAACCTGTATATGTTCAATAATAACAATAAAAATTGCAAAGCAGAATGTTTATATTGTTGGGTCTGGGAACCTAAAGGACAGATGAGTGAGCCAGTATCTCATCCCCCATAGAGAGCACTATGGGCCCTATACCCTGAGGACCTCATAAATCTACATTCTGACAAGTTTTTCTAGGTGGGACCTGCCCCCTCCAGTCTTCTGGCCTCAGTACTCAAGTAGTCTCTGCTGGCCTGTTTACTGAAATGTTGGAAGGACCTTGACCCTAATAATCTCAAAAAACAAAACAAAACAAAAAAAAAAAACCCCTCATCTTTCTTTGTACTGAGGCCTGGTCCTGATATCCTTTGGGTGACCAAGAGAAGTAGCCTTCAGAGAGCTCCTTAAATTATAATACCATACTCCAATTAGACCTTTTCTGTAAAAGGGAGAAAAAGTGGACTGAGGTCTCCTATATACAGCTTTTCTTTTATCTCCAGGACCACCCAGAATGGCTCCATAATTGCTATCTTGATACTCAAAAACTGGCTGTTCTTTGTAAGCTACAGGATAAACATGGGGATGGAGGACCAAAAAATTCCCTTACCAATGACAAGGCCCTGTCCCTACTGCTTCACCCTCTACCCTGCCTTCTGAGTCACCTCGATATTTGGAACCTCTTAATGGATGTTCTCCCTTCAACAGGTGGTGTTAGGAAGAAGGCGAGTCTATGTCCCCATCCAGTTATCACATGTAAGGGAGATTAAAAACAATCTGGGTAGCTATACTGATGCCCCAGACTAATATATCCAGGCCTTTATTTCTGTGATCCAAACCTTTGAATTGGCATGGAAGGATATCATGCTTCTTCTGGACCAAACTCTTTCCTCATTAGAAAAGAAACTGGTCCTGGCCCAGCTCACTCAGGTCAGAGGGGCCCTCATGAAAACCCCCTTACCTCTCTATATTGTCTTAAGGATGCTATCAAAAAGCATACCACAGTGGACCCAGAGTCACAGGTGGAAAAGGTTCTCCCCAAAGATAAATTTCTAATTCAGTCAGCCCCAGATATCCATAGGAAACTCCAAAAGTCTGTGGCTGAAGGGGAAAAATCAGTGGATCAGTGGACCAACTAATGCAACTAGCCATGTTTGTATACTATAACCAAAACCTCACTAAAAAGAGAAAAAAGGATAAAAACCATCTTGACCTAATCACAGCTCTCAGGGAGTGCCCCACCTAATGGGGGCCTACATCCCGAGCTTGCTACCATTGTGGATAGGAGGTACACTTCCGCAGGGAATGCCCAAAAGGGGGACAGCTTGGGAGACAGCCCCAGTGCCCACTGGGACCTTGTCCTCTCTGCAAAAGTAGCCCCTGGAGGTCTAAGTGCCCCCATCTCCAGGTGGAAGGCAGGGTGCCCATTCCTGTCCAGGCTCCACTTCTTAACACCAATGTTGAGGAGCCTCAGGTAGCCATAATAATAGAGAGGCAAAAGGCCATCTTCCTCCTAGACAGTGGGGCCAGTTTCTCTGTCCTACCATTCTCTCCTGGTCCCTGGTCCAATAGCAAGGTTATCATTGGGGGCATATCTGGCCAGCCCCTAGAGTGCTATTTTACTCGGCCTCTGACCTGCTCTTGGAAAGATCTTCACTTCTATCACCCTTTTCTCGTATTCCCTGAGATTCCAGTGCCCCTGCTGGGATGGGATTTACTATCTCAACTAAAGGCTCAAATCCTACTTCCCCCTACCCCACGACTATCTCTGTTGCGCCCTTCCTCAGGAACAAGTAGATCCCACAGTGTGGACTGATAAAATGACTGTAGGGTGAGCTAAAATGGCTCCCCCAATTCAAATAAGACAAAGATCCCTCATAGTTTCCACATCAAAAACAGTATCCCCTCAAGCCTGAAGGACGATGAAGCCTCTTACCTATCATAAACTCCTTAAAAAAACAAGGGCTGCTAATCAGTTGCTCCAGCCCCTACAATACTCCTATTCTTGCAGCCCATAAGGGGTCAGATAAATAGTCCATAAGGGGCTCATTAATAAAGCAGTAATTCCCCTCTACCCAATTGTTCCCAATCCCTATACTCTATTGGCTCAAATAGAATGCTGGTAAATAGAATGCTGTCAAGGTTGTTTCCCCCCATAAGGGGCAAACATACCAGCTCATCTAAGAGAGCTCCCGTGTGCTAATCCACAGCCAATGGAAAGAACCCACCTAATCCTAACCCTTACCCTAACCCTAACCCAGAGTTAAAGCATCCATAAAAAGCCCCAGCCTTCACCTGAGCAGGGAGCCACCGATTTCTGGGCTCCACTGCACTGCTCTAATGGTAGCCTTTTTTTTTCTCTCTAATAAATCCTACTTTGTGTGCCACGGGCCTTTTCTCAAGAGTCAATTCACTGCCTCATGATCCAATTCTTTGGCCTGTGAAGGCAAGGACCCTCTATGCCAGCCCGCAACACTCCACACTGACATGTAACAAAATTGACCTCAAGTGCAAGGTAAGTAAGACCTCTCACAGTTTGACCCCAGAATGGGGGCAACATATTTGTTTTAAATTGATTTTTTTATATTTCTCCCAAAGAATTATCACCCCTTACCACTGCATGTCATCTGTATTTTGACTTGATCATGTTCACAACTAAACCCTTCATGCCTGGATAACTACAAAAACTTTTGAGCTGGTTTAAGGGCCTCCATAGTTTCCACTTTTTGGCTCATTAGGCATACAGTCCATCAGGAGCTGTAGTGGGAAGGGGAAGGAATACAATGCCTGTTACAATCTTGGCGGGCAGGTTTAGGTATAGGTTTAGGTACTGGCTAGTGGAGTCTTGGTTAAATATCCCACTGTTCTTTCCTCCTATCTTCTAGTTTCCTGCTGGTGGTTGTCTTCCATTGCAGTCAGTCAACCAGAAGCCACATGGCCAAGGAGACTGGATGGTGAAGGCTCTCAGGACAGGTCAGTGGCTGCAGGAGCTGGAAGAGGTGGGAGAAGCTACTGGAGGGCCAAGTGGAGAATATTCACAGGTTAGCAACCCTCTTTCCTTTTTTCTTCCACTTAGAGATAAATTTGCCACTTTGGATTTCTCATTTTCTTTGAATCTGACACACTACCTCTGAAGCGTTTTGTTTGTAGTCATATTATTTTCTGGGTAGGAATTCCCTTACCCTATTTCTTTGCTTGACAACTTCCTATTTACTCTTCAAGATCCAACTCAAACATCACCACTTTCTCCCTCATCTACTTATACGAAGGTAACAATGCTCTAATGGGGTCAGAGAACATAAGGTTAGGTTCTCAACCTACTAGTTGATGTAACCTTGGATGGGGGTACTTCTCAGATATAAGTTTCCTCTTTTGCAAAATAAGAATGGAAAAGCTCTTCCCTGGGGCAACTGAATAGATCAATGAGATAAAATGCTCCCTAAACTGTAAATCACCTTATTAATTTATTTTTTTTCTGGTCTTACCATTGCTTTTATCTATTTGTTGAGATTGATCACAGTCCAACTCATACACTCCCACCCGGCTTTTTTTTTTTTTTTTTTTCATTTCCCTCGCCTCCCCTCCCCTTTTGTGGCGTGCTCATTTATACCTGAATTTAGGAACTGTGGGACCCTACATGACTTCAAACAACTATTTCACTGTTCAAGTGTCATTTAAAAATCGGCGAGTTGGGTGGCGGGAGAGGAGATGCGCGTAGAACGAAACATAAGCCATTCTAAATTGTAAAGGTCAGGAATCCGAGCATTCTGATTGGCAGGTTTCTAAGCCAATCCTTCATCGGGGGAGGGGCAGCGCCAGGTGGGTTGGGCTTCTGCCAGGGTTTCAGCTCCCGCTTCCCAGCCCGCGCTTGGAAGCCGGAACTCCAGCCGAGAGAGTGAAGGGGCGTGTCCGGAACTCGGTGTTCGGAGCACGAGTGATCCAAAACTACAACTCCCGAAGTGCACTGCGGTCAAAGCGGGTTGTGTCTTCATTCCACTTCTTACAACGGGGACACTTCTGCGTAGTAGTGAATATCGAAAGACTGCAAGTTTGACGACGCAGGAACTGAGAACACTGCATAGCATTCCCTTTTCTTGTCGGATGGTTAGCTCAAGCGCACCGGAACCTACTGTCCCATCAGCTGAGTTTCCGGAGGACATTAATTGTGGCAGGGCGCTGTGGCGCGGCAGTTTAATTCTCCGGTGGCGGCAGATTGAGGGGACGAGATGGTTCTGGCCGCACTCATCCGGAAACTCGGTAACAATCTGAGCTCCCCTCGCCCCAGGCGCTCCGCTGTCATGGCAGGGTCGTACCACATTTCCGCAGCCAGGTCTCCCGTGGCGGCTCCCTCTTTTGTCCCCGTGTCACTACCCCAGGGACTCTTGTACTTCGTGTCCCCAGTGTGCCAGTGGCCTGCTCCCGAAGTAATTGTTTTTTACTTCCTCCCCGCCCCCAGAGTAAATCACTAAGTTTTAGGATAAAGCCTGTATGGGCACGTCTTGGAAATGGGAACTAAAAGAGAGCTTTTTGCTGAACGTCCTGACAGGTCACCAGCTGGCTGAGATCAGGGAACGCGCCCTCAGAAGTATTCTGTGCAAGGTGGAGCACGGTTTAATCTGCTATGCCGACCTCATTCAGGAGAGGCTGCTCTTCCTCCATCTGCTGGAATGGTTCACTTTCCCGTCTGTTCCCATGAAAGAAGAGGTTCTGAACCTGTTGAGCAGATTGGCTAAGGTAACGTCATCTTGAAACGAGAATAATTAGACAAGTGTGTGTTAGCCATCTCATGGTGACATTTATTGAAAGGCAAATAACGGGTTGCAAAGAATTTTGAAAATAGATGTTGAATTCAGCAGGGTGTATATTGCTTATCTCTTTCTTTTTGTGGTGTTGAATTGCATTGTCTATACTGGGCTGTAAAGTAGAACAGAACTACCACTGAGTTCTGGTAGGTTCTGACTTCTAGAATCATCTTTGTAGGTTGATATTTGTCACCCCGTATTGTCTTGTTTTCTGATATTTACGTGTTAAAAATTAGATGTGTCTGTGTTAAACAGAACACATTCAAAAATAAAGAGATGGGACATGTTTAATAAATAGTACGTGTGCTAAACTGCTTTCCTTTATCTTGTTTTTTTTTTAATTTATGTTCCTATGCTTACCTCGAGCAATTAGTTGTTGGGGGTCAAATGTCAAAATATGATTTAATCCTTTCAAAGCTTTAGATCACTGTACCTTCATAGGGGATTCTAATTCTAATTTTGGCTTCCAAAGTAGGAGAGGCTAATGAAGGTGTCAGTGGAGAAAAACAGCCTATTTAATAAATAAAAGAGCAGCGATTAGTGGTGTGCATTTCTAGTGTGCAGATTTTGTCTCCTCTCATAAGCATTATCAAGTGTTTTGTGTTGTGTTCTGTTCTTGAAAGCTTTTTGCTGTAGGGAGCAACAGTGCAGAGTATACTTTTCAGAAGGAAAATCTGATATACTAAAGTAGTTTTTATGTTTTGATTGCTGTAAGGTAAAGTTGGGATTTTGATTTTGGTATTTGTAACTATTCTTAAGACCGTCCTCTTCTTTGGAAGGGGATCAGTTGGAAGGAAGAAGTGGGGGGATAAGGCTGGGGACTAGGGAGGGTTTGAATATGATCAAAGTGCATTATGTGTATGAAAATGTCATTGTGAGACCTGTTGTTTTGTACAATTAATATATGCTAATTAAAAATTTGGGAAAAAAAGACTCCTCTTCTTTTAGTATCCCCCAGCAGTTCAGCACTTGATTGACCTTGGAGCAGTAGAGTTCTTGTCTAAGCTTCGGTCTAATGTGGAGCCAAATCTACAGGCGGAAATTGATGGCATTCTGGATGGACTTTTTGTTCTTCCTTCAGAAGTTCCTGTACCGTCTTGTGTCTCTTATCAAGTCAATCAAACTGGTAACTCTTTGCAACCAGCTTAATGGAATCTGTTAAAATACACGTATATTGATTCTAATGGTAAATTTTAGGGGAAAGAATATTAGATTAGGGAAAGGAATATTAGATTAGAAAAAAGTTTCTTCTCATACTCCCCAAACTTATTTTTCTTGTGCTAACTTACACCTTTGACCTTTTTTCTCCTGTCTTCCTTTTATGGTCTGGCCAAAAAGATGCCAGTGCCTTTGTTTTGTAAGACTAGAGTGATGGATTATTTCTTTGACAATACCAACACATTCTTACTAAGCACTAATTATTATATGTCCATCACTGTTTTAGTGCTTTATAATTGCATTTTTGGACCTTTATATTCATATTGGTATATAATGATATGTGCCCTAGCTTATGATTTTAATGCAAGTATTTAGTAGGTTGTAATGCACAGTGTAATTAAAAATGTAATGTAATTAAAAATCAGAGACATGGGTTTAAGTCCCAGTTCTGCCCTTAGTTGTGTGACCTTGGCTCCTCTCTAAGCTTTAGTCTTCTTATTTGAAAATTGGGACAATAAGAAAGAACACATCTCTCATAGAATTATTGTGAAGAATAGGACTGAGCTACTCTGCCATCTTAAATTATATTTTTTCAGTCTGATTACTTATAGGTAAAAGTAGAGGAGTGGTCTAGGGATAATTTTTAGATCTATATGAAGATGAACTATCGACATGAAAGTTTCAAAAAATTTGAAAATTTAGTTTTAGCTTTTTCCTCATTCTCATTACAACTGATATGTAATCTCACATGTGACAGGGAATTTCTTTTTTTTGGTCATGCTGGGGATCCATCCCAGGGCCAATGCATGCTAGGCAAGCACTTTACCACTGAGCTACAACCCTATCCCATTCCTGGTTTTGACAGCTTTTTTGTTAAAGGTATTCATGAAAACTGAAATGTTCAGAACTATATAATTGGAGTAGAACAGAAGAGGAATTTAGACTAAGAATCTTAGGTGAACAGACCTTATATACTTTGTAGCCAACTCTTCATATACATTGTGGTTATTTTCATTCTAATAAATAATTTTATTTTCCTAACAGTAAAAGAGAGAGACAGACTGTTCAGAGAAAAAAGCTAGACTGATTTTTCAGTTTTAAAAATGATTAAGATATTTAAGCCAGGTGCTGGTGGCTCACACCTATAATCCTAGCTACTCAGGAGGCAGAGATCAGGAGGATCACGGTTCAAAGCCAGCCTGGGCAAATACTTTGTGAGACCCTATCTTGAAAAAACCCTTCACAAAAATAGGGCTCAAAGCGAAGGACCTGAGTTCAAGTTCCAGTACTGCAAAAAAAAAAAAGATATTTAAAAGAAAACATTACTATTTTAAAAAATTTTCATTTTTAGCAAATGAATTAATAGTCATATATGTGTGTGTTGTGTGTATATATACACATGTATATATTTTTTTCCCTTTTCAGAATTATCCCAACAACCTGAAATCTTAACAGGATATTTTCCCCAAGACAAAAGTAATTTTCAGCAGATGGAAGTGCCTCCACGAACAGTGGGTATGTATACATAGGGAAGTAAACCCTGTTGAGCTGGTTAATGAGAAATCAGTGTACTCTTCCTCATTGCCATGAAGACATATTATGGTTGAACTTGAATGTTTCAGCACTGAACTAAATGTTTCAAATTTTAGTTTAGGATATAGAGCCTAAATGGTAAAGTGTTATGTTATTCTAACTACTTGAGCAAATATGTAGATAGGTGATAGTAATGTTATTAGTGTTTAGTATCTATTGAACATGAATTCTTGTTAAGCATAGTGCTGTTTACTGTACCTGATAATACCTGATAGGTCATCTCATTTATTCTCCAACTCACGAAATGGTACTGTTTATCTCATTACTCTGGCAAGAGAGTGAGGATCATCGTAGTTTTTTTTTTTTTTTTTTAACATCCATTTGGATAAGGATTAGAAAGTTCTGATTTGAAGTTGTTTCCCTGGAATCTCATCTCCAGGTCTTTGTATGTCTGACTATATGTGTCTGGTCTCTACCCACATGCTACCATTTTAAAGAGACCTTCCTGATGATTCTAGCAAGTGATCACTTTCTGTGTTTACTTTTCTTCCTAAGACATTCCATGCTTTTCAATTTTGTAGTCATTTACTTCTTGTTTGTCATTACATCTTGAACTATGAACACTGATAGCCCTAATGTCTTAAACAGTGCATATAGGCACTGTATGTTCTTTGAAGGGATGAGGAGTCCTTAGTGAATATCATTAGGTACCCTGAAGTTTAGAAAGGTTAAAAGCTGTGTCCTAGGTAACATAGGAAGTGGGTAAGTTAGTTGTACCTAACATTTTATTGCTTGCGTAGTTGAGATAAAACGGATGTATGTCTTTAAGAGAGTATCTATGATGTGAAGTATTCAAATAAACTCAGTTTGGAAGCACTTTGTTATTAACAAGTTTTCCTGGAAATTTATAGGTTGGATAACAGCATAAGAAAGCTTATAAAGCTGTTAAAATATGTTTTCTTACTGGAGAAATTTTGGAATTTAATAATTTTGGTATCTGCATTTAACAATTCCATATTCTTTTCAAACCATTTGACAGAAATAGTATTTGCATACTTGCAAAAGTTTATTTTATGTAGATGTTCTTTCTCAGTATTGCAACCTTAACTTGTAAACTCTAAGAGCAATTAAAAATAATTTGAATGGGGATAGTTTTCTCAGGTTTATTTATTTATTTTTTAGTGGCACTGGAGTTTGAACTCAGGCTTTTATGCTTACTAGGCAGACTAGGCAGCCTAGGCAGGTGTTCTATTGCTTGAGTCACTCCACCACCTCTCAGATTCTTTTAAATCTTGTTTGAGCACTGATGTTTGATCTCTAACCTTGAGGTCTTCAAGTCATCCTCATAAAGATTTAAGCATTTAACACCAGCAGCATATTCGAACGTGATTATATAAAGCATATGGTTATGTTTATATCATTTTAATTTTCTGCAAGTAACAATTTTCTACAAATGTCATTGCCTTTTATGTTAGATTCAAGTTTGAAGTTTTGTTAGCTATAAGGTAAAATAGAGAATTTAATGGAAACTTTAAATGCCGTTCAGTATTAGTTTGGGTTTAGTGCTCTTCTTCTAATCCTTATTTTAATGACTTCTGCTTAAATTATGAAAATAGAACTTTATTATTTATCCTGGAAGAGGACAAGTTTGCAGCTGTCCGCCTCATTTGAAATATTTTTGGTTGCTGTAAGATGTAGCTTTTATTTTGAGGCTTTTTATAAAAGTGAGGCTTTACTCGTAATATTGTGCATCTGTCATCACTTTATTCTTTGACATCTTAAGTTTTGTTTTTCTATTAAACAGTAAATCAGAGTGTGAAGTGTTTGAAGTTTTCTACATTTCCTTGGCTTGCCCTGACCACAACAGACAGACATGTTCTCTCCTCTAATGAAAGGTACAGTGCTTGACGTATTTCAGTTATTTTTGTTGTTTCTAACTGTTAAGTCTGATAGTTATTGCTGTACGTTTTCATCTGGAAAAGATACTGAGCTGTGTGAAAAGAAGTAATAGGTTTATTTAAATGTTTTTCACTGTTTTAAAAAGCAAGCCAGAAAATTTCCTATTTGTTTTTAATCAGTCTGTACATTTGGTTTCCTTTGTATGGCTGGAATCTTATATAGTCCTTCATAATGTAAGTTATTATTTACTGGCCAGATTCTTTGTTGGCCATTGCCTATGTCCTTGAAAATAAATGCAAAAATTAAACGTAATTGCATTCTATGGGCTTCATTAGGAGAAAAATTTACCATGTTGATTTTTTGGGGGGGGCCTCTACTGGGATTTGAATTCAGGGACCCATGCTTGCTAGGAAGGCACTCTACCTTCTGAGCCATGCCTCCAGCCCTCATGTTTAGAAGGTTGAGGACAAGTACTAATCTTAGGTAATAGATATTAATTCGTTTGTTGTTACCCTTTTTTTTGTTGTTGTACTGGGGTTTGAACTCAGGGCCTACCCCTTGAACCACTCCAACAGCCCTTTTTTGTGATGGGTTTTACTAAGTATTTGTCCAGACTGGCTTCGAAATGTGATCTTCCTAATCTCTGCTTCCTGAGTAGCTAGGATTACAGTTGTGAGTCACCAGAGTCCGGCTCATTGTTATTCTTTAAAAGTAGGCGGCTGGAGAAATTTGGAGAGGTTTTTTTTCTTTTTCCTGGTATTGGGGTTTAAACTTTAGGGCTTTGCACTTGCTGGGCAGGCGGTCTGCCACTTGAGCCATACCTCCAGCCTGGTTTTGCTATGGTTATTTTGGAGATAAGGTCTTACTTTTTGACCAGGACAGCTTGGACTGCATTCATCTTATTTTATGCTTCTTGACATCTCTGGGATGACAAATGTGTGTTCAGCATTTTTCTGTTGTGTGTTCTCCCAGATTTTTTGTCTGGGCTGGCTTCAAACTGATGTCAGCCTCTCAAGTAGCTAGAATTACAGGTGTGAGCTCCTAGAGCCTGGCTATAGAGTGTTTTTAATGTCTACATTCAGTTGGTGGATTCACTTTCATTGAATGTAAAAATGTATTGTGTGCCTTTTTTGGGTGTGAATCTGGAAAATATAGACAAACTTGCTAGAGTATAGGGCCAGATACAGATGGATAGTGTAATTTTTTTTTTTACTGGTGCTGGGGTTTTAACTCAGGGCTTCATGTTTGTGAAGCAGGTACTTTAACTCTTGGTCCATGCCTCCAGCCCTCTAAACTGGTTTTGATGATGGCACTTCTAAGGTTTCAGTCCATTCTTTTGGGATACAGTATTCAAGAGGTAGAGTACACCTGGGTAAGGGCAGAGGATGGTTTATCTATCAGTTCTGACAGTCTTAGGAAGAGATGGAGACAGTTTCTAGTGTCAACCTTTGGATGGTAGACTAGACTGAGGCTGAGAAAAGGGATTGGTTTCTTGAGATAGAGGTGAATAGTGCTATATTTTTGATAAGCAGAAGCTGAAGGGGTGTTATCAATATAGAATAAGAGGGTAGTCAGATCCTGATTCACCTAAAGTAGGGAATCCAATTCCTAGAAATTGTGTCTATTCTTGCTGCTATTTTTCTATTATTTCTTAATTTATTTAGCAGATTTTGACCTTATTGATCTCATTTTGTAGCATTATGATAGTCTCTGAGTATAGTGGTTAATATGATGTAGTTTCTGCTCTGGAGGATGGTCTAGTGGGGATATAAAATCAACAAACAATTATGTCACAAAATGTAGGCATATAGAAGAAGCACCTCCTCAAAGCTGTTTATTGAGCAAAGAAAAGATGTGATGTCTCACCTGAGATCTGAAGGATGGGTTAACTGAGTCCTGTTGTTTAAAGTGAATACTATATTTTGTAGCTCTTTGAGAAGTAGTAACTACACTTTGATCTGGAACACTTGTGAACTTTTGAAGGATGTTATAATGCAAGATTTTCCTGCTGAGATTTTTCTTCAGAGGCCAAAAATTGTTCAGGTTAGTACGTTCTATAATTGTTTTAGGTTTTGAAATAGAGAACATTTTTCAGTAAAACAATTTTTGTGGAACAGGAGTCCTTGGAAAGGAAGTTTGTATTAACACTTAAAAAAATGAAACATTTTGCTATTTAACCTACTGATTCTCTAAATTATTTGGATAGTTGCATTTCTTCCAATAGGTAGGAAGTCTCTTTTGGTAACTGCTATCTCCCTAAAGGGGAGAATCAACTTTGGAAATTAAGGTTGGGCAGCAATAACCTTACTTATTATCCTTTCTAAGTGTCTTGTATGTTTAAGGCACAATGCTAGATGCTGGATGTATACATTAGTAGTGAGCAGTATTGATGGATGTTTTCCTTTTGTGTAGTCCGATCTGTTGCTTCTCAGGTAGAGAGAGAGCTCCAGGATGTGACATCCACATCGTAGAGTAATGCTGCAGGATTCTCACTCCACACTTAACAGGGCCAAAAACAGGACTGCAGTGAATGGCAACTATTTATACATGCTATCACAGCTGGCAAATGATAGTAGAGAAAAACTGTTAATTACCAAAACGTGGTAAAAGCATTTGGATGTTTAAGATGAAAAGGGTTTTTGAAAAATCTTTGTAATGTAATGTCCTGAATGGGGAATAATTTCATAATTCCTGTCTTCTCTCAGAATCTTACCTAATAGAGTCAGAAACGCTGACTATTCTATGTTAAACCCCCGCGCCGCCCCCCCCCCACCGCCCAAAGATGGAGGTCTTGCTGTTTCCCTAGCTGCTCTCGAATTTATGAGCTCAAGTGATCCTCCAGCCTCAGCCTCCTAAGTAGTTGGGATAGGGATATACACCATCATATCTGGCTTATTTAAATTTTATTATTTTATTTGACCTTTTTGCATTTAGCTAAGTGATTTTTGCTCATATTTATTTCTCATGTTTTGTCAGTATCTCACAATTTATTTCCTGTGATTACTTACTTATCCTTAAGTTCCACATCCTTCTCTTGACTTGAGCACTGTGTTCCCTTAACCATTTTTACTGCCTTTGTTTCAGAGTCTTTTGTCTCTGTTGAAACTGGCCTTTGAAGGAGATGGAAGGCATCGCCTGGCATTACAGTCAGTGTCCTGCTTGCAGCAGCTATGCATGTACTTAAGAAACAGACTTAACTTTCACCGAGATCCAGATTTTTTCTCCAATAAAAAAGGTTTGTATTCATTTACTCATTAGCTGCTGGTATGTTTGCAGATTCTTCTGAGAACTATCCATTATACTTACTTTAGGTCTTACTTTGTATACATTTTTACAATATAAACTCGCTCTCCTAAACATAATCAAATCTTCACATAGAAACTGAAGTCAGTGACAGGACCACCATGATCCTGTGCTCTTTTTTTGTTTTCTTGAGAGCTTGTTTGGAGGTTCTAGCAGGGGAGTGCAGCTACTCATATACCCTTTACCAAAGAATGGTCCTCCTCTACCAGGGATGGTCGTCCTCTTCGACCGAGTGCACAACTTTGGGAGGGATGCACATGGGGTGGTGAGGGAGGAAGGGGACACCCGCCTAGCCAGCCAGATCAGCTGAATCAACCCTGGCAATCAACGGGGTGACAGATGTCGCAGCCAGCACACCCTCACATCCTTTTTTTTTTTCTTAACAAGAGGCATCTAAGAAGTGTTTTCCTTTCCCCCAGACGAATTCTTTATACAGTGTTGCAGGAGCTTAGGGACTAAGATTATGAAAATGGCTATTCATGTTGGACTTTGGGAAGTTTAATAAATTATATATTTTATTACTAAATTGTTGGCTTTGAAAAAACTGTTTTGTGTTTTATCAAAATATTTTTATAAGCCAGGTGTGGTGGCACATTTCTGTAACTTTAGCTCCTTGGGAGTGGAAGGCAGGAGCATTGCTAGTTCAAGACTAGCCTGGGCAAAGGTAGTGGTGAGACCCTATCTCAAAAACAAATTACAAAACCAAAAGGGCTGGGGCATAGCTCAAGTGATAGGGCACTTTCCTTGTTCAATCCCCAGTACTACAAAAAGAAGCACAATGAACAATTATTGTGCAACTTGTGATGTCGTTGGAGTGTTATGTGATGGCAGTGCCACAGTTTTCAGAGAAAAACTGCCACCCAATGGACAGTTGGCCTGGACAAAGCAATCTCTGCAGCTTTGATCTCTGTGTGCTTGTGCCTCAAAAGTAGAGTGTTAAGTTATAGCCAGTTGTCATCATGCTTCAGTTAACCTGTATTTTGTTGAGAGTTTCACTCTTCCATGCTGCTTGAAAATTCGTGCTTTACATTGACTTTATTGTACATTTAGAGGATAGGGGTTAATGCATTCACATTCCTGAGGCATGGCATTTTGTCAATGATAACAGAGAGTTTCTGGGTACCCTGTACTTCAGCAGAAAAAGAGTTCTAATCATGACAAAAATAGTTGCTATCTGAAGAGTTATTCATGCATGAAATAAACAGTTACTTGTCACCAGCTATAGGCCAGCTGATTCTCTAGACTCTTGGAAGGTATGACATGGAACAGTTAAAGTCCTAGTACTTATTTATGAGCTTATATTTTTAGATAATTGAGGAAAGAAAATGAACAATCAGGTTTTTTTCTTTTTTTTTTTTTTGATAGGGAGAAGTACTCTAAGGAAATAAAGGGTGTCATGTCAGAACATGACCAGGGAAACATAGCTTACTTTAGATAGGATGGTCAGGGAAAGCTTTTCAGAAGAGGTGACCTGAAGACTGACAAGGCATTCTCCATGTGAAGAAAGGTGAGAGGCCAAAGTGGGTCTGAGAGGGATGTGCCTAGCAACAGAAGGAAGGCCTGTGAGAGTGAGTTCACTAGGCCAGGGGCGAGGGGAAACGTGAAGCCAGTGAGGGAATTAGACCTTAGAGAAGATTGTATCTTTTCTTTGAAGCAAAGTGATCACGAAGCTCTTTGAAAAGTTGCTTGTAAATGCATTACTGTTACTTATTCATGCATTGTTAGGGTTTGAACTCAGACCTTAACTTGCAAGGCCCCTCCACTAGCTTCCCTTTCTCAGTTGTGGCTAGTGTCCAATGCTGTGGCAATTCTGCTCTCAGTGTTGTTCCATTACCGTAAAAGAAAGTCTGTGACATTAAGTGGTAACGCCCCATTTCCCCTCCCAGCCTCCTATAACCTTTTCACCTAGTTTCTCTCTAAATTTGTCTGTTCTGGGAACCTCATACACGTGAGATCATACAATATGTGTCTGTGTGTCTGGCTTTTATATTTTCGAGCTTGTTAGAGCATGAATTAGAACTTTGTTCCTTTTTATGACTGAATAATGTTCCATTTTATGAATATGACACATTTTTGTTCATCCATTCATCTTTTGATATATATGTGGATTGTATCTTCCTTTTGGCTACTGTGAATGATGCTTCAGTAAATGTTGGCCCAAGCATCTGAGTCCCTTTTGTCACCTCTTTCGACCTTAAACCTAGAAATGGAATTGCTGGATCATATGGTAGTTCTTTAACTTTTTGAAGACCCTCCGGACTGGTTTTCAAGCAGCTGCACTGTTTTACATTTCCACCAGCAGCTATGAAGCTCCCACCCATGTAGTGAAGTTCTTACAAGAACCTGTTCTTTTTTCCTCTCTTTACATCACCATTCTAGTCTGTGTGGTCAGTGTGGCTTTGATTTGCATGACTTAATGACTCTGTTGCCTTTGTTATGTGCTTCTTCAACTGTCTTTTTTCTGTGGAAAAATGCCTTTTTCTCTGCCCCTTTTTTGATTGGGTTACTTGTCTCTTTTGAGTTTTAGGAGTTATTTATTATTCTGATATATGATTTTCAAACATTTTCTTCATTTTGTATATTGTCTTTAAACTTTCTCTATAATATACTTTTGCTGTACCAAAAACTTTAATTTTGATGAAATCCATTTTTCCTCTGTTTTCTTTGGTGGTTTGTACTTTTGCTTTCATTTGTAAGAATCCATTGCTAACTAAGTGTCATGAAGACTATTACATTAATTTTCTGTAATTGTGGTTTTAGCTCTTAAATCCTTGTTCCATTTTGATTTCATTTTTTGTATATGGCTTGAGGCAGGGGTTTTAGCAAGTTTAAAGCAGGCGAATGCGTGATAAAGTATTGTTTTGCTTAGTGAATGCCATTAGCTAGAAAGTTCTGGATAGTCAGGTCAGTTACATAGAGCCTAAATGTGCTTTGTGCATATTTGCACAAAGGTTGATCTTTACTTTTATTTCTACCTGTGCAGAAGCATTTCTACTGTGTTAATTTTGTTAATTTCTTTTTTTTTTTGAAGAATGACACATACTTTATAATCAGAAATCTATTTCTATTAAGAGATACTTTTATTTATTTATTTTCCCAGATACAATTTCGCAAAATTCTTCCTTGTCTTACTGTCATGAAGTAAGAGGTACTCATCATTCCCAGAATCCATCCCCAGGGAGCAGCAGCCCTCGGCCTTCAGTGGTTGGGCGCACAGGGCAGCGACCCAGAGGAGACGGCCAGGACTGGGATGCAATGTCCTCCAGGTGACTGAGAAGTCAGAAAAACTTAGTGAACGTGTGTGTGCTTTAATGTCAGAGGGAGATAGTTTTTCTCCACTTTTTTTGGAAACATCACCCAACATGTAGGCCTTGTATTAAATCACTGACTTTTATACTTTTCATATCACATTGCAACTCAGCAGTCAGTCAGTATACAAACATATCCTGTATGTGTGTGTGTGTCAGTGTGTGTGTGTCATCAAAACAAGCTTGCAGCCTGTCAGTGAGTTCATGTTCTACACGTAGAAGTACACATTCTGTTCCTTTGTTTCCTTAGAATGTCAAGATGATTCTGATATACTAAGTTGTTTTTTACCAGCTGTGAGTAGAATATGAACTAGTTTACCAAGCCTGGCTTTACATGATAGATACATTTTGATGGTATTTTAAAACACATTTTTGTAAGTCTAATCATAATTTAGGAGTATATATGTTTAGTAAAGGAATGATTGGAGGATATTTTCTTCATTAAAATTTTTTTTCTCATTTTTCTGGATGGATTTTCAAAAATCATAATGATGCTGAATATATAAAATACAGTAATCCATTTCCCATGGTATTTTTTTGGGAAGATTCTAGTTGCTAACACTGGATTAATTAGAACATTTGGTGAAAATCACAGAAAACCTAGGAACCTATACTTTTGTCTTTGCAAGTTGACCACATAAGAGCATTGCTGTAAATGTGCTTGTTTTCTTTTAGAAGTGAATGTTTGTCTGCTAATGTTGACTGCTGCTATAGGAGTTGATGACATGGTTCAAGACCAGCAGTTTGAATATCAAAATATAAGTGCATTTTTGGTCTCACGTATAATTTTTGTTTTTATTTTATGGTGCTGGGGATCGAGTCCACAGCCTTGTGCATGCTAGGAAGTACTCTACTATTGAGCACACCCTTCATGTACAATTTTAAGTCCTCTTTATGAAATTTAACCCCCTGAGTTTGTCATAGTTTTTATGGATCTGACTAGAATTGTTGCATGAAGCAAGATAGATGTGAGCAACATGAGGTTTCTAATGTGCAAGGCAGCAGGCAGGCAGTGAATGTGCCCGAGGACTGCTTCCACAGTTGGCACTTACTGTTATTTACTCTACAGTGGAAGCAGTAGCCGTGCTCATGTAAACTCTAGGATATCTGTCCATTCACCTTTGGATGGAGGACACATAGATCTGCCTGAGCTGGAAACTGAAGACACATTGGAGCTACAATTTCAGCAGCTCAGTCTTCCTCAGTTCTGTGTCTCCATTCTGGAATCAGCAGTTCCTCTGTTAAAAACAGGTTCGTTGTTTTGGAAATTCTGTTTTTTCATACACAATATTTGTCTCATATTTTTTCCTTTTTTTTCTTCTATTTTTTACTTATCTTTTGGGATGTAAATTCCTAAGAATTTGGTAAGGTCTTTATTACTACTTAATTAAGTAAGGATGCCATGGAGTTATTCGGACAGAGTATCCCTTCCGTTTAGGGGTTTTATTGGTATAGGCTTCTCCTCCTGTATGGCTATTTTAAATGTAAGCACTTATAATAACATACAACTGGATAAAGCTGGAGAAGGTAAACTGAGGTAATCTTTTGCTTTTGCTCCTTAGAAATGTTTTGATTTACTCTGAGTTGCTCACGCTTCCCATTCATTCTTAAAATCTATGAAATATTAACAAAACCCCCAAAGCAGGTTCTTTATAGTAATTTGATTTTCTTTCAAAAAGCTCACAGATATTCTGGGGTTATGTTTTTGCTCAAATGTGCTAGGTGTTCTTTTACTGAAGAGTGGTAACGGCAGCAACAATATGGCTAAAGTCTACTAGAGTCTATTGATAAAACACAGGCATGAGTCCCTACTATATTCAGTTATCATATTGGTTTTATGTGCACTCCTTGTACCAATCCATTTTACCCTTCCCGCATTGGTGGTTAGTATTTTTATTGCCACTTTTATAAATGAGGAAAAAGATTTGAAATATTTCACAAATATAGCTAAAGTTAGGTAGCTAAGATCTGGGACTTGATTTAAAGTTCTTCTAAACCCAAAAGCCATTCCCTTTAGCACTTTTCAAGGTAAAGAAAGTTGTAGAAGCAGTAATGATTTTATTCTCTAAATCTGTACATTTTAGTGGTTTATAAGCTTGTCAGGATATAAGTACAAGTTAAGTTAGTTTTGCCCCTGTTACTATATTCTGACAAAGTAGAAAAATACATCCCACATTAATGGTTTTTTAAGAGTTGTGGTTATTTTATGCCTCTAGTTATGAGGAAGAAAGTAAGATAAAGGTATGTATTTGGGAAGTATTGAAAATATTATTATGATTGTTATTGGTGGTACTGGGGTTTGGACTCAGCGCCTTGCACTTGCTAGGCAAGTACTCTATCACTTGAGACATTCCCACCCCCCCACCCCCAGCAAAAATTTTTTTTCTGCTGAGGAAAATCTTATGTCTTTACTTCTTGCTGAACAACTGCTTCCAGGAGTTAGCGCTGCATATGAATTCACATACAAGTAATGTGAAGTGAAGGAAGATCTGAACTTCAGTATCATAAAGTATTTATCTGCCTGATGTACTGGGAAGAACAGTTTTAGACTTAATGATTTTTCATTTAACCTTTTCTTAATTTGCTGTAAAAAGTCAGTTGATAATTATAAAGCTGTATCTTGGTACATAAAAATTTCTAAATGTTCTCCTGCCCTTTTGTGGTAAATTATTGCATAATTTGTAATTGTTCAATATCGTAAGAGATATCAAGAGAACTTGCCCAGCTGTTCTAAAGAAAAAGTTAATTTAGATCCTTATGATTCAGTAGTTTGTTTTATTTTTGTTCAGTAGAAATTAACCTTTGGAATATGGGAAAGGAAATTCTTATTTGGAAGTTTACCTCATATAGAATTATGGCATGGTATTTCTGTCTCTGGTGAAAGGACACTACACAATTCCTTCCTTCCTTCCTTCCTCCCTCTCCCCTCGCTCCTCTCCCCTCTTCTCTCTTCCCTCTTCCCTCCCTTCCTTTCTGTCTTTTTTTTTTTTTTTTTTTTTGTTTATTTGTTTGTTTTTTGAGATAGGGTCTCTGTATCTAGCCAGGCTGGCCTTCAATTCACAATCCTGCTTCTGCCTACCAAATGCTGGGATTACTGATACAGACTATCATGCTTGGCCAATACAGTTTTGTTTGGAATACTTTTGGAGTTTAATGGGGTATAGATGGAATTTCTTGAAGTTTCTTTAGCAGTTGATAGTGTGTACATGTATCCCAGTGGTTGCTCTAGTTGGAGCTTAGCTTCCCAGGCCACTCCCGCATGGAGAAATACTAATCATAACAAAGCTTAAGCCTTCTGCTACTAACTAGAAGTTATTGAAAGCATTTTCTAAACTTGCTTGGTGCTTTGTCACATATAGTATCTAACGTGGGTAGTCTCTAAAGGGGAATAATTATTTTAACCTATTTCATAGTATTTTTAGTTAGACTGTTGCTGTTCTCTTCTTGAGTATCTTTACCAGTATGAGCACATTTGATTTGTTGTAGGAAGAATTTTGACTTCCTTATTCATCTCTGTCAATAGTTCTGAAAACATTTTTATAAAGTGCAAAATGGGAATTTGTGGACCTGACTAACTTGAGAATTCACCTGATTATTTGAAAATTAAGTAACTTTCTTTTCCCTTACCTGTCTGATATTTGTATTCCTAGATAGTAGACAGATGATAATAAGACTTCTGGAATTGCTTGCAGAGGATATGATCCTTATTGGTGAAGCAATTTCAGCTGATATCTGGGATGACAACAGCCTTTTTGCTATAGATATGGTGAGAATCATTGTTTTCTTTGGGAAATACATAATGGTATTTTATTTAATTTTGGTTTTCTTAAGCTGATTTAATTTCTCAGTTATCTTTGCAACTCTTTTTTTCTTTTTGGTATAATATATTCTAGGCTTATTTTGTCCATGTTCCTGAGCAAGTTATTTCTCCAGCGATCCTGGTTACTTTAATGGCAGAAGGTCTGTCAAGACCAATATAGGTCATTGAGGACTGTGATGTCATTCTTCATACTCACTAGCAGAACTAGGAAATATATAATTTAAAAAATCATGAGTTTTTATTTCCTGATTTTGAATTGTACTCTTTGTAGGTCTGCTTGTAGAAAGACTTACTAGCAGTATTAAAACAATTGCTTTAACCTTTGGCATATGTAAGACGGAATGACCGTAGTAGTATGAAGAACCACTCTTAAAAAGATTAACATTTCCCAGCAGTTCTTTCTGACTTAGATTAAATGTAGGATACACAGTCAGAATACTGTTCCTTAATGTCACTTGAAAGAATTTTCTTCTCTTATGTTATGTTATGTTGTTAGAGTTAGATTTGTTTCAGTTTGTTTCCACTTTGGGAATTGTTTTCTCTTCATAAAAATGTAACTCAGAAATGTCTCCTTGTGATCTGTTCTCTTTAAGATATTTTCTTTATTGGTAGTCATTTTAATTTTATTTTCTGGTTTATTCTTTCTATTTTTATTTTATTATTTGCAAAATATAAGCAAAGGAGTATATAGATTCTTACCACCTCCCTATAGCTTATATACAAGGTAGACTATATTGTTATGGCAGGGTAGTCAGAGGAGAAACCAAGCGACACTCAGAGGAGTGGAGAACTCAGGTTTTTTTATTTTTACGCTAGCGGGCCCAGACGTGTACCAGTGTCTGAGCCCTGAACAAAGGATTCACAAGATATTTAAAAGGTAGTGTAGGGCATCAGGTTACAAAGATGTGCTCAGGTCATGGTGTCCTAACCAGTGAGTTAGATTGTTTAGTTTAATTGGGCTGGTAGTGAGCTAGGAACCTAGTGTTGTTTAGATAAGAACAGCAGGGGAGACCTGCTTTGGGAAGTTTATTTACAAGTGGAGACAAAGAAGGGCAGGAATGGGTGCTTATCTCTGCTTGGTGCCTCTTATCTCGGTCCTGAGCTTTTGCAGGGCTCTAATGGGCAATTCCTCACAGCTCTGTCCGAGGTTACAGCTTTTAATTGACAGTTTACCATGTTTTACAACCCTGTTCCAGGGCTATCTTCCTCTTCATTCCCCCCTTTTGATGCTTTTTTCCACTTTTGGATAAGCATCAACACTAGACTTTAGAAATTCCTTAGGATTCTTGTTGTCCCAAAGGCCTATATTGTGTCACTAAGAGCTGCAACTTTATCGCCTCCATCCGGGAGCTAATAAAGCGAGTTATGGCATTAAGAATGCATGGACCAAATATCAGTGCCAATAGAAGCATAAAGATAGGGCCAGATAAGGGAACAAGCCACGATGCCCAGTTCCAGATATTGCTCCATCTGTTCCAGGAATTTGCTAATTCCTGCCTTCTACGTGCGACTCGGTCCTGCAATTGCTGGGCCATATCCCTGACTATTCCCGACTGATTTACATAAAAGCAACATTCTTCGTTTAAGAAAAGGCAAAGCCCTCCCTTTTCGGCAGTGAGTAAGTCCAACCCTCTCTGGTTTTGGAGGACCACTGATGCTAGGGAGTCCAGTTGGTCCTGCATAGTTGTTATGGACTTTGCCACTTGCTCTATGTCACTTGTTAGCTCTGCGGATAACTGATTATAGTATGCGGCTGATGAAGCAATTCCTCCTATGCCTGTTCCTATCCCAGCTGTTATCCCCAGTCCAATCAATAAGGGTATAAATTGGATAGCTCTCTTTGACCGTGAGTGAGCTATTAAAGGCACAGGGAGGGTCTGATTATTGGGCACTATGTTTATTTGGGGGGTGAGGAATGCCAGTGTACAAATGCCCTTCCAGTTAGCTGGCAGGCACTGATAAGCAAGGGTCCCACAGACAAAAAGATTCCCGGGCTGCTGCACCATAGCCGATCAACTGTACATCCATTGGCAGTAGCTGTACAGTTTTGAACTTGAGCGCATTGGTCAGCAGTCAGTTCCCCAACCGAATAGTATCCTTTTTGAATTGTAGATACAACTGGGGGCTTTCTGGAATAGCTTTATATTTCTTACTCTGGGTTTTGTACTGGTAGAGTTGAGAGGAGCTTCATGCCCTCTCTGCTTGAGGAGGCTTACTGGGGTTGCTACATATTGGGGGGGACCCGAGGACATGCAGAGCCAGCAATCACCTGCCAATGGTGGGTTTGTAAAATTAAGGAGGTGGTGGGTTGCATTTAGCAGGTTGTACAGTTGAGGTTCCAGGTTAAGTTCCCCTGTCCCAGGGGGGAGCCTTAACGGGGACCGTGGAGGTGGCAGATCAATGTCTTCTATAGGCTCGTATCCGCCTAGGTAATCACCTGTGGGTGGCCCTTCCAGCTTTGTGACTCTCCCCTTAGTGAAATGATGTGGAAGAGGGGTGGAAGGGTAAGGTGCCCAGATATAATGGGGTTTGTTCCCTCCCCCGGTCATTTCATCGTTCTATGCCTTTAGGGGGTCCCCGTTTTTCTTCCAGCAAACTGTCTGTCCTATAGTGCCCTTGTTCTTGCACGATCCAGTCAGACCCACCAGATTTCCTTTATAGTAAATCGTTCCTCCCCTGGTGCATTCAGAGATTGATATGCTGCACACAGGTGACAGATACTGATAAAAGGTGAAGGCATACCTCAGTTTTCCCTGGAAGGAGAGCAGCCTTATGCAGGCTGAGCAGTCATCCTGGCCTCCCATTTGGACAACCTCAAAATGTATCAGAGTTAGAAGACAATAACACACCAAAGACCTCATGCTCAAGGTTAGAATCTAGGCTACAGGCAACACCGGACAGCAGTTAGGCTCCCAACTATGAGGAGATAACAGAAAGCTAATAGTAACCTCTGGCCTAAGTTCCAATCCTGGGGAGCAGTGACAGCCAGTCCTAGAGCAAACAGTATAGCAACAACACTAATCAGCAGGATAGGGTATGGGTGACAGAAAAGGGGATGCATCTGTGTCCCGGTGGGCAAATCCTCAGGCTTCCGCCGTGTGTTGACCAACCAGCTTCCGGGGTGTGGTTGGAGCAGGGCTGGAGGTCTCTCAGGCAGTGGTGCTCCACTGCGACGTCCTCTGGAGCCTTAATCTGAGGGGGTCAGTTGAATCTTGGACTGCCTGCCAGTTGTTGCGGTCCACGGGAGTGGCAGCCTTCTTTATCCTGGAGTGATGAATCCAAGAAGTGAGACCTGTAACCTTAACAGCTGTAGGAGTTGCTAATATGACTAGGTGGGGACCTGTCCAACTAGGTTGGAGCGGTTCCTTTTTCCAATCCTTTACCCATACCATGTCTCCCGGTTGGTGGGGATGGGCCCAGTTACCCATAGGGATTGGGGCCCTTTCTAAAACTTCCCGGGAAATGTGACGCAGGGTTGTTCCTAAGGCCTGGAGATGTTGAGACATGTCCAGACTCCCAATTTGCCTGAGGTCCCCCCTGAGCCTGTTTATTATGGGAGGGGGTCTGCCATAGAGAATCTCAAAGGGTGAGTATCCAGAGGGTCTAGGGGTACAGCGTGCCCTGAGCAGGGCTAAAGGTAGCATGTCTACCCAGGGAGATTGTGTCTCTTGGCAGAGTTTGGCTAAGGTAATCTTAAGGGTTCGATTCATGCGCTCTACTTTTCCTGAACTCTGGGGCCTGTACGCTGTATGGAGTTTCCACTTTATTTTTAAAATCTTGGCCAGGCTCTGAACTATTTCTGCCACGAAGGCTGGCCCATTATCTGACCCGATAGAAAGGGGAAGTCCGTATCTGGGGATAACTTCTCTTAAGAGAGCCTTTACTACCTCTCGTGCCTTCTCTGTGCGTGTAGGGTAAGCTTCAACCCATCCTGAGTAGGTGCAAACAAGGACCAGGAGGTACCGGTACCCTCAACGGGGCTTGACCTCTGTAAAGTCCACTTCTAAATCCTCAAAAGGCATGGTGCCTGTAGTTTGTATTCCAGGGCTTGGCTTAGGCCCTTGACTCGCATTGTTTCGTGCACACGTGATGCATCTAGCACTCACTTGGGCGCATAGGGTGGGGGGCTTGGGAATGAAGTAGTATCTGTCCAATAGATTTTCCAGGGCCGTTTTCCCCAAGTGTGTTAGCTCGTGCTGTTGTTTTACCAGAGCGACTGCTACAGCACTGGGGACAAAGAGCCTCTGGTCAGGCAACTTCCACCAGCCCCCTTCTTCTTTCATTCCCTTTTCATCTTTTGCCCATTGTTCTTCCTCCTTGGTGTAGTTTGGGGAGGGAGGCAGTTCCGGAGCCAGCAGAAGCTTGGCGGTCTGCTTTGGGACTTCGGGGGAGCTCAGTTCTTCTGCTGCCCTTTTTGCTGCCTGATCCGCCAGGCGATTTCCTCTACTAACACAGTCCATGCCCCTTTGGTGGCCTCTACAGTGCATGACAGTCACTTGAGACGGTTCCCAGACTGCTTCTAGCAGTTGGAGAATTTCTTCTTTGTTTTTAATTTCCTTTCCCTCTGCTGTCAGCAATCCTCTCTCTTTGTATATTGCTCCATGCACGTGCAAGGTGGCAAAGGCATACTTAGAGTCTGTATAGATGTTTTCCCTTTGCATATCGTAATGCCTGAACCAATGCCCAAAGTTCTGCTCGTTGTGCAGACCAGCTTTGCGGTAGGGCTTCAGCCTGTATAAGGTTGTCAGCAGTGGTGACTGCGAATCCGGCCTTTCGTCGTCCATTCTGGATGAAACTGCTTCCATCTGTGAAAAGTTCGAGCTCCGGATCTGAGAGGGGAAGATCCATCAGATCTGGCCTGCTAGAATACACTTCATCCATCACTTCTTCGCAATCGTGATCTGGGAGCCCTTCTTCTGTTGGCAGGAAAGTGGCAGGATTTAATG